TTATTGTCATCAGAGCGAAGAACTACGATTTTTCTTCACTGGTATTAAAAACACACATCATGCAGGATTTCCTAAAACAAAAACAAGGAGAGTTTTAACACTCACACAAAGCATTCTGGGAAGTCTGCTGATAGACCAACAGGGTTTCTTTGACGAGTTAAGAAGCAGCATTAGTAGTAAAATTAATTTTCACTACTTTAAGTCAACAGGCTTCCTGTCAGATGTTGGATTTGCTCTGAAAACGTAATCTGGACATTTATAGTTGACCTCTGTGTGTAAGATACTGATGAAGTGATGACAGTAAGAACTGATGATGTGTCTTTTGCATAAGAAAAGCATTTAAAGTCCATCTGTGTCTGTGTTTTGTTTGTTCTCTAAAGCATGTCATTAAATATGTGATCTACATGTCCTCACTCATGATCCCAGAATCAGGGCCTCTGGTAAGAATAACTAAATACACATGACATGATGCTCACACTGACTGTAGACAGGAGACAACAAAAGCTGAGAGTATCGCTACAGAGGAGGAACAAACTGGGGAAAGCAAACGAGGATTAGGACTTTAAAAAAAACCCGTTTCAAATGGCGACTGAGTGAAGCAGTAAATAAAGAGTTCAGCAAACCGCCGGTGCAGGATTGTTGTCCCACACACACACACACACACACACACACAGGCACAGCTGGAATCGGATACGACACCAGAGCAACCGTCCATTTACACACACACACTCCAGATATTTGCATGTCGTGAAGATTAAACACTTGAGCAGAGCTGAGCTCGTTTTTAAACTGTAAAAGACACAGAATGTGGTCAAGACCAATTACAGATGTTTCTCCTGTGGCCTCCTTATTATGGCAGGTAGCAGCGCTAAACGCTCCTCGGTGCTGATTGGCTGATGCCACTGAAATGTTATTCCATGAAAATGTTTTGAAGAGTTCAGTGCAGCGTGTTGAGGACGTCCCAGACGGAGCTGCTCCGGCTTCACAAACAACAACTAATATCTGCTGCCCACAGACTTATGATCCCCAGCGTTCATAAAGTTCATGTTTTCAGACGCTGAGGTGCCTAAACAGGCCTTGTGAAGATGGAATGTCTCTTTTATGTGAAATTAAATAAGATCAGCTTGTGGGCCTCTCTCCTTCCTGTTCTGCTTTCCGTTTTATGTTCATTTCCATTCCCGAACAAAGCCGTCTCTCCACGGTGTATTAATGCCCATCAAAGGCCTCAATCAAGTCGCTTTGCCACAGGCTACAGCCAGAACGGAGAGGCTAAAGTTTAATGCTGTCAGTGCAGTGAGGATGTGGGCTCCGTGTCTTCTCAGCCTCCTTGTGTTTTTTTTTAACCCCCATAATTCACAAATATCTTTGTGGGGCTGATTAAGTCGAACAAGCAAACAGCACACGCTGAAAGGCCGTTTCAAGGTCACTGACAATGACAACAGTCTCACTCGTGGTGCTGTGAGGACAATGTCTGTATGTTCCTCACTGAGAGGGCGGAAAATTCATCAAATAAAACATAATTACACAGGGCTTCCTAAAAAATTAGTCACGCCTGTGAGTCAATGGACTCATAGTTTAGGAGGATCCGGAGACGAGGGACGTTTGAGCGAGAAGCTGCCGACTGTCTGCTGACGTTCTGGTGGAATATCCTGCTCTGTACCGCTTTAATGAAACTTCCTTGAACAGAAAATTAAATTAACAACATGGATGGACTTTACATTTATGAATCGCTTATCATTCCTGTCTTCACTTGTTAAATTTTTAAGTTATTCTGAAAACAATAAATCCTGCAGTTAGTTCATATGGAGGCAGAAGGAGTCAGACTTCATCCCAGAAGGTTTTATTTATTCTGTTGCCAGTAAATATATTTGTCTATGTAATAAAATGCAATGAAACATGCGACAGATTTCACATCAGATGAGCGTTTTATCGTGAAGGGACTGTCATCACGTGATTCCTGACAGCTAGCAGATGTAATGTATGATTTTATTTAACTGTTAACACCACAGCCAGTGAGTCTGAACGGAGGAATCTGACTAAATACTAATAAAGACAACGTGTGTTTCAAATACGATGCCACTGCTTCCTTTTCTTTGTGTGAATACACTTATCATCTGTGTGTGTGTGTGTGTGTGTGTGTGTGTTAATGCCTCTTTATTCCCTGCAGGTGGGCCTTCTGTTAGCAGGAAGCTCACAATGCCAGAAAACTGACACATAAATAATTTTCTAGTGGTGAGGACCACAGTCCGTCTCACTCTGACCATCTCCTGCACAGTTCTTATAATAAAGCAGCAACAGTTTGTAAAATCAGGGACACTTTTCTGAAATAAAAGCAGATCAAACTGTGCTTGTGGCTAAAGCATGAGCCGTCCTCCACCACGCCAGAGGAAACATAAAGCATATTCCAGCTTCAGTGGCCGACATCCTGGAGCTGCATGAAGGCAGAGAGGAGGACACCCAGGTACATGTGGGACCTCTGCAGGTGTCCACGGTGCTGCCTGCTGAACCTGACGCTGTCCTGTCTTATAAAACTGCTTCTTTAATTAACCGACCTCATCCTGAAACATGTCGACCAACATCAGAAAAATGCTGCGAGCTTTTCTGATTTGCTGCCCAGCGTTAGTTCACGGCTAAGAATAGCTCAGACACAAAGCTGGAGCAGGTTGAAAATTTGGCTAAGTGATCATTAAGTCTGGTTCACTGCCATAAATCCTGCTGCTGACATACGGAGAGAGAGTTCAAAGTAATTAGATATTTGTTTGACTGCAAGAGATGAAATATAAACCGCTGTAAAGTCACTTTATCGACCCACCCACCCCAGTCAGTTCACAGCAGCGAGTGTGAGCCAGCGTTTCTATCACCAGCACCAGTATGGACACCTTCCATTCTCATGGGCTTAATTTGAAATCCAATCAGGCACATTTCTGCTCCTCTTTCACTCAGCTGCTTTCTCTTTTTTTCTTCTTCTTCTCCCACACATGTGCTCGTGTGTGTGTGTGTGTGTGTGTGTGTGCATGTGTCCACCATGTGTGCATGACTGTATGAATATGTTTGTGTCTTTGTTGCAGTAGATAACCGCATATAGCTTTTAGCTGTGAGCTTTTCTGCTGCTTGCTCATGAGCTGTGTGAGCTGTTGGTCGACTCAGTTTCTGCAGAACGCTGACAGATGAGCAGCAAATCTAACACGACCAGAAAAACATCACACCTCCGACAGAAGGTTCTCCAGGCTGTGTGCTGTTTACCTCTTAGTTTATAAATTCAAAAATTCAAAAAGATGAAGAAAAGTTTCTGGAAACACATTTAAAGCTGCATCCAGAATGGATTTAAATTCAGTCTCAGTGAACTGTCTCAGAGATGGATCACTGTGTGAGCATGAAAATGACTTTTATATAGATTTAATCTGAAGAGGAATTTGATTACAGACATTCTGTTGTGTGCCAGAAACTTTTGAAGGAATAAATTGTGTTCAACTTTATCACGATTCATTGATTTTCATCTTCAGTGATTTCATTAAGCTGTGAAGGATTCTGCAAAATGTGTAAAACTCAGATGTAGCAGTAAACAACTGGACTAATGATGTGTGACAGAAATAACAAAAAAACCTGTCGGTGTCTCAGTGGAATTGTAATTTTGGGAAATAATTTAATTGAACCTGACAAAGATTTGAGGAACAAATAAAAGCAAATATGCAGAAGTAGGATTTCTTTTGTTCATAATGAATCTTTAATATCATGCAGGAGGGCTGGATCATGTCTTCTTTTACAAATAAGAAAAAAAAACAGGTAAAGCAGGCTTCTCATTCTACTCAATTCTTTTTTTTTCTTTCAATTTTTTCAATAATTTGCGATTTAAAGGCTTTTAAGGGATTTTTCAAAGACTTTTTTTGATTCGATTTGAATAAACCAACAGTATGTTATTGTGCAGGAAAATGAGTTTATTGCTCTGGTGAAGGATTCAACAAAGAATCAGAGAAAAGGCGTATAAAAGTGTTTTTTTAAATATATATCTGAATGTTATCAAGTCTGTGGCGCACAGAAAACACACGAACCATCGTTTTTACGCACCGTCTCTGAATCCTGTAACGTCAAATGTTTCATCATTTTTCCAGAATCTGCAGCAAGTTTCGTCCTTGAAAAACCACAGAAATATGAAAACAGGGTTTTACAAATAAAAACGACAGAAAACAGGCGGTTGTAAAATAATATCAGCATCTCATGTGTCGGACTGAGAGCGATTTGAAATTTGGGAATAATTTCCAGACAGCGCGCGCGTTTCTTCTGGACCAAAAAACAAAATATAAATATAATAATGATTTTTAAAAAGTAGATGCAAAATATTAATAGTAATAATTCAAGTAAGGTTGTTTTTGGATACGAGGAGCTCAGATATAATATTGTAGTCCTACTTCTATGATCTAGATTCTATTTTATCTGAAAATCACAAATGAGTTTCTGACTGCAAAGTGCTTTTCGGTCTGAAATAAACAAATTAAATTAAATTAATCACGCAAGTGACTCTAAAATTCGTTTCCAGTGATATTTAAGGCATTAAAATGTCTTTTACAGCTTCACCCAGTTTTATTCAGAAGCCACAGAGCTGAATTCTGAACACAGTGGGCTGAATGTGGATGATTTGCCCTTGATGAACCATTGCGAATGAAGCGTAAAATGCGCCCTCTCCGCCCCAGTGCCATCACTCATTCATATCCAAATTACATTAATGTCATGTGTTAAGCCCCCCGCCCCTATTTTTACTAACTTTTTTTTCCTTTCTTCTTCTTCTTCTTTTTTTTTTTTTTGCAAATAAGCGACCGAACTCGTTCATGTCATCAGCATAATCACTTGGGAGAGGTCTCGAAGCCTGGAGATCTGGGTCCCCTCCTCTGAGGAAAGACGGAGTTTGTGTAACTCTCCTCAAACCTGAGGGGGAGTTCGGAGTGTTTGGTCAACGACAGTGGTTCCTGGAAAAGATCTGAATCGTTTTATAACCAAACCCAGCTGCGGTCTGGTGTAGGCTGCAGTCTGTGCGTGCATGTATGTGTGTGTGTGCGTTAAAGTGTGTGTGTGTGTTTTCATCTGAACGAGGTAGAAGGAGAGGAAGGGGCTCCTGCGCTTCCCTTCCCCAATAGAGAGAGAGAGAGAGAGAGAGAAAGAGAGAGAGAAAAGTTTGGTCTTGTTCTCCCCTTCACTCTTTTTTTTAGGCATGAACGCGGAGACCTGCGTTTCATACAGCGATATGACATCCATGGATTCATATTATAGCCCCTCTGCTGCGCAAGGTAGGGATCACCAGACGGACCACTTTAGGACATTCCCAGCTACTGACACCAAATACAGCCCCACTGCCTTCCTGCCCAACAAAGGTCAGGCTTACGGAGAAAAGTCCCGGAGCCCCTTCCAGCAGGAGTGCCAGTCATTGGATGCCGCCGCAGCTGGGCAAGGCACTTTCAGCAAATACCACCTCTTCATGCAGAGGTCTTCTTGCAAAACACCCCCCGAGGAGGACAAACTGCACCAGGAGAGGGGACACAACGGAGCGCTCATCCCGTGCTATGGTGAGTGACAGAGAGCTCCACGAACCTAACGAGTGTTTTTATTGTTGAACGAGAGATTATCGTGTGAATATCTGCTGAAGTGTCAGAGTCAGGCTGCGCAGTGAAAGTCACTCAGCATCAGGAGGACTCCTCTGGTCCGAGTGCGTAAGTTCTGTGCCTGACTTAGAGCTTGGAGCCTGTCCGTCATCGCTCCGTTTGGAGGTTTTGATCACAAATGGCACAGATCAGAACCTCTCTGAAGCTCGGTTCTGTCCCGTCAGTCTGCCTGATGGGACAGTTTCTCGACAGCCAGTCGTGCAGATTGAGTTCCTTTGCTCTGTCTTCTTCATCCGAAACGTGTCAAACTTCCTTCGTGCGTAAAAAGCATCAGCGAACTTTTTCTCCAGCAGCAGGCTGCACAAGACGTCCCGACTCGCAAAGCCGTGGGCCGGCAGTTCTGTGCGTAACACGGTGAAGAAGAGCCATAATCTACCCGACTATCAAATTGTCTCTTTGGCCATCAAAATTAAATTACGGCGCATTTAATGCGATAATCTGCATTACAATCCTCAATATCGGAGCTGAGTCGGACAATTGAATTAACAGGTTTTCAGATGGCACAAATAGTGGGCTCCAAACTGTTAATATTTTCATTTCATTGCGCGGCCTGATTGGCTCCAATTAGATTTAATTGCGCAGGGGCGCAGCTGTAATTGGTGAATGATGAGGGTGTGAATAAAACTTTGACCCTCGTTAGTCAGGCGGCCGCTTTCAAACGGCATTATTGCCTGTTTTTTTTCTTTCCCTCCGCCACCTGAAAACCGTTTTCTCTGACAGGAAATACAGATGATAGCATCATGAAAACGCCAGAATCCAGAGGTGTCATCCAGAAAGAGGCGCAACAAGCTTTTGGGAAATTACACAAAATGAATTCAGCTGGTTTGTCCTGAACTGCATCCCAGAACCGAACTGATATCATGACAGTCAGGCCTCCGGATTTACAGCCTCAGAGTCCGTTGTTGACTCACAACCGGTCAAGAATAAAGAGAAAGAGATCAGGAGAGTGTGTCAATGTTTAGGAGCACATCGGTGTGTGTTCTGGGATCAAACATCAAACACTGATATGATTTAACAGGTTCTGCAAAAGTCTTCAGTCAGAATATATATATATATTTTTTTTACACTCAACTGAAAACCAAAAATCTGAACATGTGCGTAAAACAATCATTATTGTCTGGATTCTGTGTGTGTGTGTGTGTGTGTGTGTTTACATAGAGAGTGTATAAAACTTTATCTGCATACCTGAAAATTAATCAGTTTTAAAAGCATGTGTGTATAAAACTAAATATTAAAAAAGTAAGGTTCACTTTAAAAAAAAAAAAACTGTGCGTTGAGGCCAAATATAGAAAGTTCAAAATCCCATTTCAGGCCACATTAAAAAAACAAACAAACAAAAAACCTCTAATAAATAGTGGGTGTATAACAATAAAAAAGAGCTTCCATTACAAAAAATATGAATAAAATATGAATTAAACAATATAAGATAGTCTTTGGATGGAAGGCCGTCATGTGCAGCAGCTGCTCGTACATCAGCGTCACACTCAGGCTTTTTAGTGAAAGTAGCTTCAGGATGTTTTGATAGTTTCTGGATTTCGGCCTCCTGAAATCTTTTTTACAGCTTCATCATGTCAGGAAAGGAGATCAAGCTTTTGAAAAACTGAAACGGGGCTTTTAAACCGCCTGTTAAGTTTCTATTAGCCATTAACCTCCACACAGATCCGGTACATGGAGACGGAATTTAAAAAAAAAGATCTATTATGCTGTAAATAAACCGCAGTCACTGGGAGTGTGAGTAAACTGTAAAGACAGAAAGAAAAAAAGAAAAATGTTTTTAAAAATAAAAATAAAAAATCTTTCAAAAACAAACAAGCAGTTGAACAAACAGAATCCTCAAATTCCTTTTTAAAAAAATCCTTATTTTCCCTGATCCATTGCGCACGACTGTTATTTAAAAGACAAAAAAAAATCCATTTCTGTTCTGCTCTTCTGTACATCTTTTTCTTCGTTTTTTTTTTTTTTTACCATCAGACCTTCCAGGTGAAATATGTGCGTGCCGGTCGTCAAACATTCTAGTTTTACAACGAAGCGACTTAAATCCACAAAGACCGGATTCACACTGAAGAAGGAAAAAACATCTCCGCGCTGCAGACAAGAGCAGCGCTGACATTAATACGACTCAGATGTCAAACCTCTCTGTTTGCTTTTATTTCTCTGCTCACAGCGACTTGACACTCAGAGATAAAACCTTTTTTTTTAGCTCTTCAGAGATTCTGCTTCTACATCTGAGGAATGTGCGTCATTTGTTTGGCGACTTTCATTTTACGCACGCAAACTAACATCCCGTCCTCACGCCTGGATAAAGAAAAAACGTCTTTAAAATTTAGATCTAAAATGTTTCGACACTGGAGGCTGTTTTTCTTGTGATTATTGACTAACTGGAGGTTTTTACTGACTTCTACGCCGCTGACTGACTGGACATAAATTGAAGGCAGCAGTAAAATATGCTGAACTTGCCTGCTGAAGAGAAAAAAAATGATAAATGATTCCTGATGTTTTTATTGGAAAATGCTGGAGTATTTTACTTCCTGGCTCATTTCTTTTATCAAACCTGTATTTTACACACTGGCTGGGTAGTTTCAAATTGTCAGAGATTTCGCTGTGTTGTTATAATTTGTGGCTTGATCCGTTCAGTCAAAGGTGATGTGATGAGAGGTCTCGGAGCTGTCTGAGGCGCAGGCTGCCGGCGAACTGAGAACATTTTTGGCTGATAGAAAACAGCACGACTGTCTAATAAACATTTACATACATTAGAGTCACTACAAACACAGTTGTGTTGTTCATACTCAACACACTGCCAATCATGCTGTTACATGAAATCAACGAGGCAGCTCTTGGAGCATGGACAGCTTTCAGAGCTGACAGCATCACACTGGCTGGAACTGGAAGAGAATGGACGAGATCAAACTCTTTCTCTGAGCAAAAGTAGATGTGAACTACTCCAGTATTACTAAAAATCCCACATTCAGATTTCTACTCAAGTAAAGTACTGATAACATACCAGAAAAATCTACTTAATAATAAAAATATGCTGATCATGGAGAAGGCTTCAGCTATTTTCCATCAAATTGTGTATTTTAATCTGTAGCACTGCAGCAAAGTCCATAAGATCATCGAGCTTTTGTCCCTCATCAGAGGCAAAATGTAGAAAAACACTGAAATATAAAAGAAAGAAAGAAAACGTTTCACCAAACAAAATTAATTTACTTTACATCACAGAAAAATTTTTAAGTGTAAAACAGACACTCTGGCCAATAAATAATATGAAAAGAGATAAATCAATATTTAAAACTAAACAGAAGAGTGATGTCATTATTAAAAAGCATTGGGCCCTGGGGAGGACTCAGTCACTCCGTAGCCTTCAGCGTGCCACCTCCGTGTCTCTGAACCTCCAGAGACAACACTCTTCCTCTTTTGATGTGTCTCCTCTCAGTGTCTGCTGACCTTTAGCTCGGCTTTCCTGCCCCTCATCTGTTTGGAGAAGAGGCCGAGTTCCTCCCAGCGCGCTCACTAAGCAGAGAAAATCCATTCGAAACCCCCATTTGAGGCTCTGTGGTGTCAAAGCGGAGCACTTTGCAACATTCAGGATTAGACTCGAGTTTTACGCCGTTAAGGTTTAACTACAGCCTTCAGTCAAACTCTGTTGTTGCTCCAGTCTGGAGCCTCGTTACAACAGGATCGGGCCTTTTGTCACTTTGTGGACACGTGCGGGGCATCGACGTCTCTGCTGCTGGTGCCGTTTGAAGACAACAACAAAAGAAAGCTGCAGTTTATTCCAGTTTAAACTGTCTTTAGTTTCTATTTCGCTGCCCTGCGAGTGTGAACACGAGACACCCACAGAAGTGGTTAAAGAAATGATCTCCATTAGGCCCAGCATTCAGGTGCCATTTCAGTGCCTTGTGAGATCTTTTTTTTGTTCCTTCTCCATTTTTAACCCAGCACAACCATTTGAGCCCCGTAATGGCCGTCTGCGCTGATTGGTTCGAGCAGGCCGTAATGGGAACCAGCCACGCCGGCCAGACAACCGAGGCACACTTCAGCAAGTCAATGACATGAGTGGAGGTGACAAGGACTCAGGATCATTTTACCATTTAGCTTAAAGTTTGGCAGGGTAATTTACATTAGGCTCAGTTTGCATGGCCGAGTGAGAGCAGCAGGGCAGGAACGGCTTCATGAAGTCCAGGACTTCCTCTGGTCTCTCCGTCCCTGCTTCATGTAAACTGAACACTTGGAAGCTGGACTGCGGGTCGGCTCTCAGTCTGTTTTTTTTATACCTGTTGAATTTAAGGTGATTTCATCTTGACGAATGATTTAAATTTCTACGTGATATTTTCAAAGGTTTTCCAGGATTTTTCCAGCCTCTTTGTGTTCAGTCACGTGGCTTCACCGAATCAAAAATTACTGCTGCTGCTTTTCCTTTTTTTTTTTTAGGACAGAAATGTTTCCGTACTGAAGGCCAGATGGTTTTTGAAACTCTAAAGGCTTTTGAAAACTTGAATAGCGACCTCTCGGACTGCTTAAAGCAGGATCTAAACGTATATTTCAACTACAAACATGCGTAAGTAAGTAAAAATCGATTTAAAATTCCTCCTCTGACGCCATTTTACGTTTTCATTCTTTATTTGTTTAACCGTTTACTAGGTACGAACAGACTGTGTTTTAATGTAGACCCACGAAAATACTTTATGTTTCGGTTGGTCACGGTGTCCTAAAGCTTTACATTTCCACGGTTGGGTCAGTGTTTACAGCTGGTGAATGAGCACTTGTTGGATAATTAGGCATTTCTAATTCACACCTGTGAACCTGACAGACTCTGAGTTCCAGAAACCTCCAGAAGTGCTGCAGGGCACGTTGCTAAGACCGATGCATTTTGGACGCCGGCTGGTGGAAACTAGCTGCACTTC